CTAACTTATTCCGATTATAGTAAATATGCTGCAGAATATTTTATTATTTAATATATACCCATCATCAGAAACAACCTCCACGTGATTTCGTTCGGGTTTGAGATTATTTATTCTACAGCTGCACGCCCTAGCTGTTGGATGCTTTAATGAAGCACGTACTCTGCGGCAGCGGAGACCGCAATACAGATCCAGATCTAGATCTAGAATGCCGGAAGGAAGAACGTTGGCGTACGCGTGCACTGGTTCTTATATCTCACTGACATCTTACTAAGCGATTTTTTTCTCTATCTCGATCTCTCTTGCCCTCGCTCGTCGTTAATAACGTTGTTTTTAGTACCGAGAGACATCCGGCGCAAGTAGGCGGTTATTACTGACATAACAATCTGAGCTGTATATTTACGCAACCCTCTAACACAGTTTTCGTAACAGTTTATACTTACAATTTATTTACCCTCTACCAGGGCGACAGATTGATTTTTCACAGATATTCACAGATATGTCTCTAGATAAATAGACAGTCATTTGGTTCTGTTTTCCGTTTGTCCCTATATCATCTGGAAGAGGGTACAATTTAGTATTAGTATCTTGGTAATACTTTTTGTATTTTTTTAACTTATACTTCTGAATTTGGTCAAACCTAAAACAACATGCTTTATTGTAGAGAGACTACAATCAAGCTGTTGCTCACGGTAGCTAGACATAAACTAGATTTCAGATAAACCAAGCGAGAGCGAAGCTGCACAACTCACGCCGCCTTGGTAAATCAGGTAAATTCAGACGACGGAAAAAATATTTGTCCAAAACAATTTTACATACTGCCTTTGAATTGACAAATTTCGACTCTATATACGGACACATTTCTAATCCATAGTAGCTTCATTACCGACCTAAAGAGCAATACGATAAATAGTTCAATATGTAAGCTCTAATTGTGGTAGTTATTAAAGCCCTTTTTTATGTCGTAGGCTCTATTCAGGTACACTTGGCCTATGGCAGAATCAGACATAGCTTGTTCGGCAGAACAGATACCTCACGCCAATACGCTAGAACCCAGAGTGATGCGCACAGTCTTTACCTCGAAACTCGGGGTGAAATTCCAGTCCTCGTCAAAATCCCTTTAACTTGAAAAACATATAACCTTGCACGGGGGTTCAGAGGTTTGCGTCAGGCCTTCGCGCTCAGATCCGCTATTAGTTAGCGATAATCTTGGCCCAATCGCATTAGTTTTGCCAAGAGTGATGTAGATTGGGTTCAATTCCCGGTAATAGCGTGACAGGAACCCAAGCGCCTTGTTATTAGAGGCAATATCTGATCTCATCTTCTCGAGGGAATGAGCACGTGCTGTCGGGAGAGGGTAGGGACTGCACGGAGCGATACGGCGATGAAGTGACACACGAGGCGGCGAGGTCGATAAATCATTGAACTTCTACGTGCGGCGGTGCACGAGACCAGACGAACTGGTTTAGACGGGGCTCGGCACGGTAAAAGTCGCTGGCCGGTTTCCACTTACACTGCCTGTAGTGAGATTCTCTCTCTCTGTGTGTGTGTGTGTGTGTGTGTGTGTGTGTGAGAGAGAGAGAGAGAGAGAGAAGAGCATTTTTCTCCACAGAATACTAATTGTTTTGTTTTCTATTTGGTGAAAGCCAGCCACCTAGGTGAAGTCTGTCTGTGTGTGCATATGTCACGTGCGAGTAAAGATACATGTTCACGTATGTCATTTGGCCTACTTCATTACTCCCAGATGAAGATTGCTTACAACGAAGAAAAACAGAATAAGTCTGGGAACTGTCCTTAGAAGAGAATCTGATGATACTATTTGAAATGAATTACAAAGAATTCCCTTGTATTTTTTTCGTTGAAGAGCATTGGATGCAAAAGATAGTAGCTGACCGCAAAAAAAAAAATGAAAAATGGTTTACCGTTTAACGATGAAAAAATCTGATTTATCCAATTGCTCATTAGTATTCTTATGATTTTTGCTTTAAAATTTTTCCAAGAAATGTATTTTGATCGTGCTCTTGATTCGGTTATTTTACCTAAATCACAATTTAAAAACCGCCTTTCGCAGGAAATAGGAGAGGGGTTGTTAAACTTACATTACCAGCAAAGTTTTTTCATTTGTTTGAACATGTAGGTTGAACTAAAATAGATAGACAGTAACGTTGCACATTTAACCATACATGTAGTAGCGCGTTCAGAGAGATTTTGAGATCGTAAGGAGAATGAATTTTCAAGAACTATCATATCACATCTGGGATCTGGCATCACAGGAGAAAATTATAACTCTTTGCTTAAATATGTTTAGAAACACTACTTCACTAATCGAATAATATATCGTATGTCTCACACCACTGATGGTGATGGTACTGGGTATAGGATATTCTCTCCATCATCCCGTGTTTCTGTATTTCCAGCCAGTCCATTTTCTCTTAGCCAATCTCGTATTCGTCCCCTGGCCGCAGCTAATATAATCGTGAGTTCGGTTTTGAAACACGCCACATTCTCGTTTTATGAACCTAATCAATTGCAAAACGAGATTATTTTGATACTGAATACGCCGCCAGCTCTTCTGAGGCTGTCACGGCTTGCGGAATAAGGGCAATGAACTCCTGATCCACAGACGGACGAATTATTTTTCCCCATATTTTACCCTCGTGTTACAACCAAGCTGCTGAACGTTTCCATGTATCTTTCAGGTATACTGTATATATTATGTTATAGGCCTATTTAATAAATATGCCCTGATTGTAAAGTAGCTCTAAATTATTTTAAATAATATTTATTTATTTATTCAAAACAGTGGGGCTGTATCATGAATTCTCTCTTCTTCCTCTTCTGACAAGATAGTTAGGTCTCACTGGAATCGCTGGAAACACTCCTCTTAATTAGATTTTCACAGATTTTCGTAGATAACAGTAAATATTTTACAATTTAGTAAGGAACTGTTAGGTCTATCCTTTTCTGTACGTAAGAGAGATTAATGCTAATATCCCTTAATTGAGCAATCTGTCAACACAAATCGAGGGACTTGTCTTTGAAGAGACGGCTTGTGAGATCTTGGATCGAAAAAGAACAAAATAACGATTTTTTTTTGGTGTCCTTTACAACACATTAGCACTTTAAGACCAACATTAAATCGCGATAAAATTATTTTCCTAAGATCACAGTTTGCACTTAACTTAAGCTAAGGAAAATGTTGCATGTCACCTTTGGAAAATGTATTTTTACAGGGGTGTCATTTTCATAAAAGGATGTAAAATACATATGAGGTAAACAAGACGACAACACCATATACAGTAGCCCATTAACTGTAAATCAATTCACGTGCGTATGCACCAATATCTTGTGTAAACGCACGTGTATTAACTGTAAAACAATTCACGTACGTGCATATGCACAAGTCATTTGTGTGAGCGTATGTGCAGAAAGTAGAAATATATACCCGCTCTTTTACACTGTAATTATGATTCGTGGAAGAAAAAAAAAGCAAAAGAAATGCAGACAAACTTTCGGCGATTGCATTTTTTCTCGTTTTTTTTCCTATTCGTTCCCTTCAAAAAAAAAAAAAAAGCGCAAAGCATTGAACCCATTGGCTCAGTTGGCTGAGTAGGCAGATAAATCCGCATATCGATGTGTTGCGTCCAATATCGTTTCTTTGCAAGCTCATAAATTTACGAAGGATTTCAACAAAAAAGCACGGTGGGACTTACAAAGAGGTCTCACTGCGCACCAGACGATAAAATTCCTCATTAATCGTCGCCTGATAAAAATGCCTTCAGCCGCGTTCACACTTGAGTTGTGTCGGCGTACCTTAATACGAACCATCCCAGCAGGCTGTCTTGGGACGGTGTTGAGGAACAGAGTCTGCCCTGGGCTCATTCCCAATGAAAGAATAGTTCTACGTAGATCGACCCAACTTCTCGGGGACTCTGCCCTGGGCTCATTCCCAATGAAAGAATAGTTCTATGTAGATCGACCCAACTTCTCGGGGACTCTGCCCTGGGCTCATTCCCAATGAAAGAATAGTTCTACGTAGATCGACCCAACTTCGCGGGGACTTTCGCTGAATACAATCAGATTAACAGATTAACACTTCACTTCTTGGAGTTGAGAAGAATGCAGAAAAGCTGGTGGTGATATGAATACGTTGGAAACAAGAAAATCCGTGTTTATCTGATTGCGGAGTTGGACCGATGTACTAAGAGTGACAGTTTTATTGGGAATTGCCCCTTAGATTATTATGCCCTCTGGGCACAGGGGTCTCTGTTTTCTAGTCTGTTTCAGAATTGGAGGAATAGATTGCTTGCTTGGTATCTCATTTTAAATGGATTGCCACCAATTTGTATTTGGGTAAACTTTAAATTCAAGACTAATAGTTAAGACCAATAAACATGCTAATGTTTTTACAATCGCCTGTTGATCTGGGTCGGATCCAACTTAGGTGGGACCATCTTCAGTGGAAACGCGGCATTAGATTCATTTCCGTTGTAATTTGGACGCCATAAACAGAGATGGACTGATTTCCTGACTGGGGGGGAAAAAACAGAGGATGTCGCATGTTGCTTTTTACCGCCTTGATTCACTGCACGGCGTTCATGTCGTCTGCTGCCGAGAGCGCTTTAAGATCAATATCCGTGTCTTTCTAAACACGCACGCACACCTCTCTGTTTACTGCCGACGGAGCCACTCCGCGCCCGGCCAACCCTTGCCCGCGTGCCAGACGCCGCTCCGCACCGACAGCGACGTCTCCAGTTTAACAGTGCATACAGCCTCGACGTGTCCGGGTAAAAAACGTGAACCACAATTATCAGTGGCTCGTACAGAGAAAAGTTGAGCTAAGCGCGGCCAAGCACATTTATGCAGGTAAAGGTAGCTGATGTGCGTCAAACACTGCCTGGGTGGAGGAAAAGAGAGAAAAAACAGCTCCTGGTCCTTAATTATATATAGAGAGTTTTCCACTCCCCCTACTGCCCTAAGCCAAGGCCTCCATCATCGCTTTCATTATCCCTTCGTTCCGCTTGACTCGCAGGGGTCATTCACCGGCAGCGTGAAACATTTAATGGGATACGGAGGCGGCAGGGTATCAAAAGCGAAGTTCAGGCCGGCAGTCGTGCCTCTCGGCACGACAATACCGCGGTTTGTTTGGTTTAGTGAGCCAGACGGAATGCTGACCTTTGACCTCAGAGTGCGTCACGCGCTGTCGTCTCTCGCTGTACACTAGGCCGGGCACACAAGGAAGCGTCGCAATCGGCTCAGTGAGGTCGCCGCCGCGAGATCGCCTACACGGTGGAGTGACTTAACGCGAAATAAATTTATAAGAAAATTATAAGGAAAAAAAATAAGACGAGAAATACAAGCGCTGCTCCGCGGTGAGGACAGGTGTAAAGAACAAGGTGGAAGAAAAACGTGATAAAAATGTCGAGTAGGAGGGGAGATATTTTCTCGGGAAATTACTCCTTCGGCCCCGAGCTACGTGCCGAACTCGAGGAGTACCTTCAGCCTATCTACAAGGACGGGGAGATGCTACTGGAGGTTGAATGCGGTGAAAACCGCGGACTTATGTACGTTTCTCGGCTGTGCCAGGGAAGCAAGGGCCCCTGTGTTTACTTTCAAGAAACCTGGCTCACGCCGAATGAGTTTCAGTACATCAGCGGCAGGGAGACCGCCAAGGACTGGAAGAGGTCAATCCGACACAAGGGACGGAGTATCAAACTGCTGCTGACCAAGGGGATTTTGTCTGTGCACCCGTCAACGTGCGATTGTGAAGGCTGTCGAATTAGTTCACCCGTGGTAAGTACACTGCTCGAACGTGTTCCGTCAGTGCAAATGACGATTTGAATGTTTGTGTGATTGTTTGTTTGTTTATTTTGAATACAGGCCATTGGAATTTCATATATTGGTGTTATAATCTTGGTGAGACACTGAAAAAATTGTGTAGATAGACATGAGGAGGGTTAACTTCATTTGGAAATTTTATTAACCAGTATACGATCTCTCTCTCTCTCTCTCTCTCTCATTTACGAAAAGGAAATGATCTAGTAATCTATACCACTCTCATAAGAGGCGTCCCCTCCTACATCAATTCACCATAGTTAAGATGGTGTTAAGCACCGATAGCATCACGCTACGGGTTACCTGCGGCGGTGCCTCGGACGGTTAAAATCAAGACCGTACCCGACGACGACAAGCCTCGGGACCTATTATTACTCTCGGTGCGTGTCGATGTCATGAAATACGATAGCGTTCATACGGGCGGGAAGACCTGACGCGAAAACGCACTCTCCTATCGCGTAGCAAAATAGAGGTATGTCTTGCCTTCCACGATCGTTTATTTAGTTAGGGTGTCGGCAATTTCTGAAAGCCGCCTCTCCGCCTCCGCCAGTTAACCGTTTTCCCGAGCTTGAATGTATTTCCCACACGATATCATTACAGGTAGAGTTTCACGTAAATATGGCGAGGTGCCGTGTACCTGGTATGGGGCGGTCTTTTATTAAGCGAGGCGGGCGTGTGTGGACATTCTTAATACTTACCACGTTCGCAAAATAGTCCCTTCAGCAGTGTTACGTAGGGGCGGTGTTTCCGTAGGGCAAAATTGCTAAAATATCCTGTTTTATTTTAAATAACTAATAATGAAAACAATAATAATAATTTAAGTTCAAATTATCCGATGTAGAATATAAACTGGACAGCCAAGATGAGGTCATGTTTGAGTCGAAAGGTGTGAAGAAATTACGTCACCGTGGCAGTGGAAAGAGCCCTGCTACGACGTATATTTCCACACCTTTTCATTGTTCTGTGGAAGCTGTTATTCCGCGATAAATCGCACTAACTCAAAGCACACAGCGCGAACGGACGCGGCGGCACAACGGGGCTTAAAGCAAATAAACATTTATCTTCATAATCACGTTTTCCGCTCATAATCGCCCGTGCTTGGCCGGTAACAAAGCTAGGCGGGCAACTGGGGGGAACAAGACAGCGCGTAATCCTCTTACCTCGCACGTGCGGCCCGTCGCGTTCAGTGTTGTGCTAAAGGATATGCCCTTATCCGGCCTTTAAAAGACCCTTTTAAAAGACCCCATCTGGGAGATTCCGGCCGGATAGTACTACCGTGAGATGTATATGTGTTTATAAGACCGGAACCGGTTAAGTCCCGTAAATTTTTGCCCGGTTATTCCCGCGGATATTGGACACCATGGGAGGGAGAAGATTACATAAAATGCAGCGCGTCGAGGAATAAATTAACCGACACCAAATACACTCTCTCAATTTCATTTATTCACATACTATCAGAAAAAATCGTAAACTCTTATTGATATTATGTTTATTATTATTCTAGAATTACACTAATTAGACTAAAAGAACAATTTTGCCATAAAATGATAAGTTTATTTGTAACTGGACATGATGAGCGAGCTCAAAATACATATTGATAGCAAAACAAATAGTAATTTGGGCATATTTGAGGCTATAAAGTTTAAAGCATATTACTATTATATCAAAACACACCCAAAAAATGTGACACGAACTTGGGATCGGTTGGAAATAAGGTGCATTAAAATTAAGCGAAATGGAGTATTTTCCAAGCCTAGTTGAAGTGAAACGTGAACTCAATTTACAATTTATCATATATGAGATGTATGTGACTCCGTGTAAATAGTGCACTTACTGATATATGGACACTGCCCACGGATAATGGCATTTTCATCGATTTCTACGTATATAGTAATATTCTGGGACAGCGGCTCAGAAACCCCAAAATGAAACATTTAGTGCTCGGTTAAGTGTAAAATACATTTATCATGCTATAACGTACGTGGGTCACCCAAGGTGTAGAAAACGTATTACTATGTCACGTTTAAGTGTGTTTTCTCTCCACTTAATAAAACAGAAATAAACATTTACATTGTTCAGAGAGTGCTCACCTTTAAGCTGAAAATTATTCAATGACATAACAATTCTTCACGTAATCCGCTTTTGGTCTGCTTGTAATGTTATGGCAGGCGGCTCTTAGAATTTATTAGAAGCAATTTCCAGCAAGCAAGCTTTTTGGCTTGGGTGGTATGCATTTAATCGTATAGAAGGCGTTTTTTCAGTGGGAGCAGTCGGAAGCTCTTGTAAAAACTTTTAAAGGCAACGCGGCGCCGTATGTGGTTGCACAAACGTTTATCAATGACAAGATGGCCGCCTCAAAAGTGCACTTTCCGTAGATACTTCAACTGCTGAGACGAATATCCTTTTTTTGAGTTTACTACGTCCAAGTCAAACTTCGGCAGTGAGGAAACATTATAAATTAGACGCCGGTGATTAGAAGGGCAGCTTCCGTAACTGAACGGCGTGTGCGACGCCCTCCTTTTCCTCCGTTGTTTTAGGTGGTAGCGGCTGGGTTCTTTTTTTTTTTTTTTTGTGTTGGTTATAATGCATACGGCACTGTGTGTACGTGCGTGCTAGAGACAGAGAGAGAGAGAGAGGGGGGGGGGAGGGGGGCTTTGACAAAACCTCAAAGTATATATTTGAACGAATCACGTGCCAAAATAATGCCCAGTGCTTATGATAGTTTAATGACCAAACCGTGCATTGAACTCGTTTTATCTCACTAGATTATCCATTCACGTACAGCATATAAAACACCCCGTATCATTCAAGTAGTAGTACTATATACTATTGTTTAGCTCTATATACATACATTTTAAGGAAATAAAAAGAAAAGGAATAACAAACGAACTCAAATTAAACTTTAGTACAAATGACGTTCATGCTAATAAATTGTCCCATCCTATATCAAAGGGGACATTTTTGATAAACCAGTGATCATGAGCTCCCTCGGGCCCGCACGTTTCGCGTGTCACGTTCGCCCGATGTTACGCATTGCGGGACGCTTAGGAGATAGAGCTCGCAGCCGGTAACTGTTTACGTCGGAGCTTGTCTGTGTCGCGACCTTTCAGCATCGGTGCAGTAGCGGTGCACATTTTATCTGCAGAAATATTTGAAGACAAATTTAAGCTGCGCTACATTTAATCAATCAAACTGAAAAGAGAAATTGGCGATGAAACTTTTGGAGTTTTAAGGAGTATGACGATTTTAAAGTGTTGATTAAGATTTACTAGCTTTGCTTATGTCACAATATGTTATTACAAATTGACAATTTTCCAATCATACAAAATTGCCGTAGTAAGCGACGTGGTATTTCCTTTGTTTAATTTCCTGTTCACTACCACCCCTCCCCCCCCACCCCATTTTCAATCACCCATTGTTTGTCCCGATGTGCATACTAATTAATATAGGATTGACTTTAAGATAAAAAACAACAACAACAACAACAAAAAATAGAAGAATAGAATAGAAAAACACTTCGATATACGTCAGCAAAGGAATCGGTAGGTCATATCGTTGTTTGTTTGGATTTTTGTTTACGCCTAAAATCAGCCGTCGTCACTTTCGTTGGTTGTTGTATGTTGTATGCATGTATGTTGATAGCAAAAAAAGGGAAAAGAATAATGTTAAAAGAAATGCTAATGCAAAAAGGTGTCTGTCAATTGAAACCGAATGATGACCAATATGAAGTACGTGTGGATTTGAATGAAAACGAGTTCACGCGAAATGGAGATCACAGGAACAGGAGGTAAGATGCGGATATTTAAAATAAATTATCCGTAAACTCGTTGTAACGAATTCGTAGTTGATGTATCAAATAGGTCGTAATGGGCTAGGCCATTTTATAAAGAATGACCCCTGAAGGAAAGGCGAGGGGAGTAAAAGAGACGGAGGAGAGGAGGGGTCGTGCAATAACCACTTTACTATCAATACCAGGTCAAAGTGACTTCCACAAATTGCTCGTTTATATATCTTTATATGCATTTCACTGACTTAAATAGACAGTTTACTTTTATGGGTTCACAAATGCGTCCTGGGTATGCCCTTTTCGTCCTAACTGGACGAAAGAGTGGAATCTGCACTTGAGGGTCCCTTCATACCCGTGCCAAACTTACTCCGTCAGTCGACTGAAACACGTCATTTGACGTCACCCGTCAACCGGGAGGCTTATTTTGACGATACGCTGGGCGTCTTTATAGTATGAATGGCGACTTGAAATGGCGCATTTTAAACAAAGTTTCGGTTTCGGTTCACAGTTTGCAGCTTGTAATAACAGCACCACATTTATTCCTCAAGGACACAATGGAATTTTGCTTTTGCTGTTCTTCCTCTCTTCTCTCTGCAAAATATTTTGATGAATTTACCGTTCGATGTTATAATGAAACGGCCGTGAGTTACAGCACGATCTGCCTCGTTCTCGCCGACTCTCTAGCCAGGTGCAGCATTTATTGTTCGAAATAGCTGGGTTATGTCAGAAATCAGTTTATGTTAGCTGCTATTGAATTGGAGGATAGGAGCCGTGAGCTGACCGTGCCTGAATACTTGTTTTGTTTTTACATATATATGTGAAGTAACTGCAAATAAAAAACTGATAATCACTATGGCATAAGGTGGGTCATGCAAAAAACGCCAGCATATATCAATAACGCCATTAATTAATGGGAAAAATTGGACTGCGTCGTTTCTTTACGGTCGAAGACGCAAACGTGACGATTGTCTGACTTTCCGGTGCACCGTGACAGAAATGAACGCTCGTCACGCGCCAACCACCACAGTGATGCATATTTATTGGGGAAATTTGCCGCAGTAACGTGAAAGTCACGTATTACCCGACAAAACGACTGTTCCCTCTTTGAGCGTGTTTTACTGACACTAAATGGCGATTATGACAATATGAAGAAATGGCAATTTTTCGTAGA